CTACCCCTCCTAACTCCTGTTTCTGCCTCTAATATGTCTCTGACTAGACCTTCATGCCTGAGAAGGTGTCCTACCAACCTATTTCGCCTATTTTTTATTGTCTTCCATAGAGTCCTCTGTTCTCCTATTCTTTCCAATACCTCTTCATTTCTATCCTTTTCTACCCACGTTATCCTCATCATCCGCCTATAACACCACATTTCGAACGCTTCTAGCCTTTTCTTTTCCGCCGCTCCCACTGTCCATGTTTCGCACCCGTACAACGCCGTGCTCCAAACATACACCTTTAACAACCTTTTTTGAATGTCTAAATTAACGAGCATAGAAGTAACTTCTTTTTATTAAAGGCAACACGATCCTGCGCTATTCTCTGTTTTATATCTCTACTACTCCTTCCATCCTCACTTATCTGACTTCCTAGCTATCTAAAATCAGCCACTTCTTCTAATTTTTGATCTCCTATCTTTATATTCGCTCTTTCCCTACTTTTTCTTCACTTGCATACCAGTATTTTAGTTTTACTTTTATTTATTTTCATACAGTACTGATCTGTCAGTACCGCTTCCATTTTACTTAAAGATATCTCTAGGTCCTCCTTGCTAGATGCTAATACTGCTATATCATCTGCAAATCTGAGCATACTAATCTTTTGCCCTTGCACATCTATCCCTACAGTTGTAAACGAACATTACTGTGGTTTATAAAATTTTGCATCATTCTCTCTATTTAAATAGTTTTTAGAACTCTTTTATTACTGTACCACCTATTGTTTCATGAATCTTAAATAAATTACAGTGGCGTTGACAAATAACAAATGAGAGACGCGCTGTAGAAACAAAGATGCAAAAATTTTATGTACCAGCAGTGTTCGTTACCTGCGACTAGCCGAGAAAGAGAAGGGTATCTTTTTCGTCCATACCTGCTATAAAATTGGTCTACACATGATATAAAAGTTTCAAGGGTGTTTCGAATTTCCATCGTACTTCGGCAACATATGATCATAGTTCGGTAGGAAATATTTCGTCATGTCTAATACCTGAATATCTTTTTTCTTATGCTTCCAAAGAAGTAACTTGTGTTTAATCCCTTAATTTCGTCCGATTTGTTCAAGGTGATAAATTTTAGGTACCTATATACATTCATTAATTTGCTTTTCTTACCTAACGACTTAGAAATGAAGAAGTATTAGAAAGAATAGGAAACCTGTAGAAAAAATTTCCATTGAACCTCAATGGGAATTAATGGAAAATTTGTAAATTCCAATTCCATTAATATTTACATAGGAAAAATTTCCATTGATTTTTAATGGGAACCAATGCAAAATTTATAAATTCTATTTAAAACCATTCATAAATAAATAGATGGATAAATAGAAAATCAATTGTTTCCATTTTGAATAATTCCATTAATATTCTTATCGTTAGATATGAATGGAAAAGTTTTAATTCTCAAACAATTCCAATTAAATAATTAATTCGGAAATGAAATATTTTTTGGTTTTTGAATTATTTGTTTATAAAATCTATTTCATTACATGGATTTTAGTTTCATCAGTCTTTTTCGAAACGGTTAACAATAGGTGTGATGTTAGATGGTATTTAATTCTGCATAAGATATATGTATGCGTATAGATTTAAATTGAATATTATTAAATGGTCTCAAAAATATATCCATCCCCTATCTCCAAGCCATAAACCCCTAATATTATATTATTCTTAGGAATAGTATAGGGTAATTCGTTTATTATAACCATTATTGGTCACATACTATTAGCCTTTTTGGATACAGTTTTTGCTTGCCCAGGTGCAGGAGTAGTGATATTGCAATTTGGGTGGTAGAAAATCAATAATCCCTTTTTATTTATGCGTGCATGTTGGGGCTACGTGAGGGACCACCACGGCAGTAGAGTGAGAGACGAGTAAGGTACTAAGACGTTTGATTAAGACGGTATATTTCATTTAGACTTTGAGCATTTTTTCTCAAAAAAGACGGAAGACGAATTTATGGTGATTACACGAAGACGTATGTATTTTGGAAGACGCGATACTTTGGATATTGTATATATTTAGTTCCTGTTTGTTACTCGTTTTGCTATTATTATTCTATGTTTATTATAAATGTATTCAACTACCCGGGGCCTTTTATTAAACAACCCCCAGACAAGTGAAAAAGTCTACATTAGAAGCATTGTTTGATGATTTTGAACCATGTCAGAATATAGAGGAGGCCTGTGAGAGTGATGTGATTTTATCAGAAGCAAGTGAAAAAAAGTCTAAACACAATGATGAAGAGCCAAACATTCAGGCACATGCCTTAGTTAAGGTACCTGAAGAACCAAATTCTCAACAAAATAATATGGATTATGGAAAAAAGCATGCTGATGCCGTTCCAATGGAACGCAATGGTAATGCCATTGAGTTCGGGAATGGGATTTCCACTAGAATTCTAGATTCTTTATCCCATTGACAATTCTCCATTTATTACCATTAATTATTATCAGTGGTAATTAAATGGCATTTTTTTAATGGAAATTGAATGGAAAATTTTTCTACGGGTAACAGAGAACTCTATGGAAGTCGATAAAAAATAGCCGAATTAGATTGGTAGAACACCTTTTTAGGCATGAAGGTTTAGTTAAAGACATATTAGAGGCACAAACCAGAAACAGGAGTTAAGAGGATTAAAGGTAGACTTAGATTGGGTTACTTTTTGCAAATAGTTAAGGATGTGGGATGTTCTAGTTTTAGGGAAATGCCAAGATTAGCTCAGGATAAGAACGAGTGGAGGTGCGTGTCCAACCAGTCTTAGGACTGACGACCTTATGATGACGATTCTTAAAAGATAATTGCAACTATTTGTTTTTAATAAGTTTATGTATGCGTCTTCGTAATTGGAAAATTTTATGAAGTTTATAAAGCTTTCTATACTTTACTACTGGATTAAATAAACACTCAAAAACTCCACAATTCAACAAAACGTTTATAAAATTAGAGTGTTTCCAAAATGTCATTCTCAGTTAGAGACTGTCTCTGACTGAAGGATTAGTTTTATAAACTTTTGTGAATTTTTCGGGGTTTTGAGTGTTTATTAAGTCAACTTCCACAATATTCCAATTAAATTTCTTATAGGTACTACTTAGTACTCACCTTTCGAATTTATTTCGAGATTGAAAAAATCTCACCTTTCATGAAATTGCTTCTTTTGGAATTACAGACTTTTCGAATTTTGACTGCGAATCGTCGATGCTATTTACGTTATATTTTCATAAGAAGAACGTTCTTACTATAATGTTATAATATAATATAATAAGAATGTTCAAAGATCCAGCGCCAAGGATATTTGGAAAGACTAGGGTCTTTTCCATTAGCTGCATCCTGAATTTCTAGTAGAGACGGGGTAGTAACAAGGAGTGACGATTATCTGAAAATATCTCCACGAAAAGTTTTAATTAGTTTTCCCCTTCCCTATATATGTAGCAATAGAAGTTGGAAAAGTCTGCGTCAACGGGTGATGAGTTCTAGCGTCACTAGTGTGCGTTGGTGAAAGAAACAATTTGGAAGCAGCGCAAAATAAAAGTATTATTAACATCACACCAAAAAAAAATAAGCGTTCTGCAGAATTTGATAACATGGTTTTTGAGGATTCCTGCAATGGAAGTGTGACAATAATTTCGGAAATGTAATGGAAATTGGGCAAAGTTAGGGAGAGGGATGCGCACGCTATTGAATTAATGCTGCCTACAGCCGGCTCTTGAGGATACAGAGAAAGAATGTGAAAAATTGCGGTCAACCGTTTGATCTGATAACCTTGCTTTTGCACATTACCCATGTTGGATATTACTCATATTGACGACTACTGTAAGACTCGCATTTGTTTTACTCTTTGACATATTTTTTTTTTATAAAATAACGCCAAAGCTTATATTACCATTCTGTATTCTTTGCACATTTTTAAAAATGCAGTATTTTGCAAAAGGTGGTAGAAATATCCTCGATTTACCCTGAAGGTATAATATGCCTTTTGCTACTTTATACATATTATTTCTGATAAGATAATTTTTGTAAGTTTACTGTTTCTGGGGTTTTTATTGCAGAGCTGCACTTATCTACGCTGTACCATACTCGAGAAATAAGTGGTGTATATGTAATTTTTCTTAATGTTACTGTAAAAAACGTGCCTCATACACGATTACAAAAGGGTGTAGAAGAAGCTTTTAGGCATAACTGTTCCGATGCTGTTAGAAATATTGATAGTATGAGTACAATAAAGACTGTGGGCGTGGAAAAATAGGAATGTAGGCGAATGGAACATTAAATTAACCCAAGAAACTGTGACGCTAATGGGGAAATAGAGAAAAAGAATCTTAAATATTTTTTGGCTTTTAATACATTCCTAAATAAAATCCGCAAAAACATCTTTAATTTATAAATNATCCCATTTACCCTATTAGCAATTCTCCATTTATTACCATTAATTATTATCAGCGGTAATTAAATGGCATTTTTTTAATGGAAATAAAATAGAAATTTTTCCTACGGGAGCTTATTCAAACTGTGAAGGTCCATTAAATGAATGTTACTTTAGTTACTCTAGAACTGAAAACCCAAAACGTAGACAATAAAGTTAAAGTCAGTCTTCTAACATTTCGTTTAAAACGATAAAGTTCTTACCAATTTCGGTATAATTGACAGTAACCTGATAATAGCTATTTCTTTCTTTAGAATAGTAAAAGAGCATTAGCGTATACTCAAACAAGAGGAAAATTTTTGGCTTCGGTTTTCTGTATGATGCCTCACAAAAACAATTTACAACTGCAATTGTAAATTCTAAAATATGGACTTTCTCCTGCCATTTAATACTATCGCTATTCCGTTTTGATTGTTCCTTCCTACTCTGTTGAATAATTTCAAATGCTAATAAAGGTTTCTGACGGATGTTCCGATGACGGCAATTAATTGCGAGAGAACTAACAACAAGAACTATGAAGATTATTGAGATACTTACAAGTTGTAGTGGACGTCGGCCATATTGGGTCGGTAGAGTAGAGCCTTACGAAAGGCCCATTCGGCCTCGGCGGTTCTCCCTTGGCCACTTAAGACGCTCCCTAGATTGCCGTACGCTAGAACAATAATAAAGGAAATTAGTAATTAGAAGGCCCTCGTTAAGTGGAATCGGTGCTAACTAGATTAGCCAAGGACTTGGGACGACAAATATCGAGGTTCGTTTGTGTGATTACAGTCTAAGGGTTGCTTAAGGGAGACAAATGGAGGACAAACGAAATACGAAGGATACACCACGGTTCCATAACATCATTCATGATTCATACAGTGACAAAAAAAATGTTTAATCAACATATCCTTAATTTGTGACCTACATTTGGTAATGTCGTCGGACCGTAAATTATGATTTGTTACCCATGCCTATTTTTCCATAACTAATTGATCTAAATGTCATACAATTAATCAAGATAAACATTCAAAATTTAGTTTTCTTTCATTGCAACTTATTGTACCCCCAAACAATATCCGTGCGTAAGTTAAAAGACGTAAAAGGGACTTTCTTGTCTCTGCCAAATCAAAAGAAATACATTCACCATACAAAATCAAAAATGACTGCCTAATAGAACACATACTAGAAAACTTTAAGGTAAAAAAGAACTTTTTCGTAATATAAGATTTTGCTAAAAAATTGAATTTCTAATTATGTTCGTTTTGTACGTTACATACCACGATGGTGGTCCTATTCAATGGACATCAGCAAGCGATGAATGGGACAAGTAAATTCAGTAAAGATTTATTGCATATACCTAAGTTATCTGAATAAAAACATAAAATAAATAGAAACAAAGTGGTCTGATTCGTTTCAGCAAGTAGATATCTATATATTTAAATGGACCTTGTTGGAGCATATGTAATCCTAAAATGTAGCATCGTACTACAGATGGCGTTCACCACGGCATTTGTGGTATTTTCTAAAACGCGCTATTAAGACAGCAGGTAAAGGTTGGTCTGTGTTCTGTCGGAGCTGCCTGCAACGCGCTGATGAGATCCAAAAAGATCGAAATCGCGATCCGCGTCTGGCAGTTTCGACAGAATACAGACCACTTTGAATTATTTTATTCATAAAATAAATACTAAATATATTACATTAGTAAAATTTGTAAAACTCCATAATAGTAACTAGTTAACTGCCAATAGTTCTAATCAACACAAAACAAATATTTTACGTTTTTCCTAGTTTCCTCCCATTGAGCAAAATACTTTATGCTGCTACTCGAGGAGGTACAAATTTTCTTCTTCTTTCTTGTTTTGTGATATTTACTCGTGTGATACTTTCACCTTGAATTTTGTTTTATGCCTTTTTTCTGCAGTCTTATTTGATTTAAAGATATCCTTAACATGAGCCAAATCACCAGTAGTTTCTTTGGATAGCAGTTCCGTCATACATTCACCAAGCAATCTGTCTTTTTCTGGAATTGAAGTGATTACTTTACTTGTGACTTCCCGTCGTTGTTGTGGATTTCTTTGTGGTAAAGCTTTTGGAAAAGGATTAATAATTTCTGGACTGATTATATCTGCTGTTCCGGAGTTAGCAACGCTACTGTTTTATGATGTAGATGGTGTAGGATCGGCGCCTGATGAAGTTGAAGGTGTAGCAACGACGTCTTCTGACAGGCTTGAAAGCAATGTCTCTTTCATGACTTAACCCTGTATCACTTTTCAAAACCCTGCACATGTTTTCATAAATCTAATCTTGAAATTGAAAACAGTTATAATTTTTAAATAACTGGACTGCTGAGTGTATTGAGATACGCTAAATGGGAGAAAAGAAATTTCGTAGTATCTACATATGGAATAAAGAATTTTTTAAATTGATACAAAATGACCAGTATTGATATGTATATATGTGATTGGGCCGAAATAAACCCTCGATAAAGAAATTTTGTTGAAGATGAATGCATTTTAATTAACAGTCATACTATAAAATTTTCAAAAACCATATCCGAAAATGAACCTTTAGGTTTGCGAATTTTTGGCCAATATCAGATTTAAACAGCGATGCAAATCCATTTCATCAATTTATTTAACGCGTTTTATAATTCTTATAAACAATTTTATCATCCACGACACGCACTACTCCGATGATCTACATGTATTTGACAGATTTGAATATTTTTCGTCATACTGATCGTGAATGTAGTGTGAAGTATAATAGACATCAAATAGTATCTACGCGTAACACGTATTACATTTTTTTCTAAAATTGTTTATTGGAACAAATTAAATGTACAAACCAAATAAAACCAGCTAGAAGTTGTTAGTGACGTCAGTCGCCCGCAGAACCATCACTTCAACTAAATTCAAAAGTATGTAAATTGGAACACTAAGGAATTAGATGGTATCAGCATTACATCAATTAGACGAATTTTAGACCAACGATTTAAAACAATTAATAGCCTATTCCATGTTCTAGAAGTTATTATTTGCCTAATCGACTGCCGCTGTTAGTAATATTACACATATTACGGTCTGCAATTGAGCGTCTTCCGACGATAGCTCTCCCTGTCATTAGCCTGACCATAATGGAACCAGCACCTGACCAGCACAGAACCGCACCAGCCAATTCGATTATAGTTCCTACGTACCCGATATGGATTTGTTGTGGCTTTGTGGACATTACCAACACAAACACAAAACATCAACCCTTTTTACATTAATCGGCTTAACAAGTAGGCACCTATACCTACATCTATTTTCGATGCTGCTACATAAAGTCCGTTCAGTTCAATTTTGCCAGTTTTGGATTATAAAGTTGAAATTGTAAATATTTTACTTTATTATTTATTGCTGGAACAATAAATCTACTAAACCGTATACCTACCACAAGAAAGAAAAATATACTGTTATCTTTCTCGGCTAGTCGCAGGTAACAAACAGTNAATAGGGTCTCAACAGTGTGAATGATCTATTGACTAAATTGCCTATAATAAACGTTCTTTTGTAAAGGAAATGTTCTCAGACTATTATAGACGGCAAATAACAAAAATAGCTCGCATTACATTTAAAAAATGTGTTGGTAAGTTAATGTTTTCTGCCGCCGAATTTACTTTTTAAAAACGCTTTTTATTTTTAAGGTCGAAATTCGACTGGCTAAGAAAAACATGAGTTGCTGCCCCGTCGAATGAAAAACAATAATACACTATGTGCGTTTACTTGTCAATCAATCGAGATGTTAACAGTTTGAAAATGGAACAACAACTGATTTAAAATAATTACAATTATTAACATTACAATTCTTATTCAATATCTTAGTAAGCTAATTAATATCAGAACAATGCAATTTCCTGATAAGATTAATATTCTTACATGCGTTGCATACTGACGTTGCGTCTTATAATTGTTACAAAGTATTTTAGATATCATAACTAAGTTTTGGAATTTGTAGTTTGCCGACCATCAAAGTTCAAAAGGTTTTATTGACCATTGTGTCGAGTTTTATTATAATATTCAGTTTGTTCTATTCATACACGTATTTACCCCAATAAAGTTCAATTGGGTTTTCGCTTGGGTTATGTTTTCCAGAAGTAAGGCAAACGACAAATTTCTGAAGACGCGTTGCACGTGTATTGCTACCACAAGTACCGCTTAATGCCCTTCTGGTACTCACTCTATCATTCTCCTCCTCTCTATCTCTCTCACCCTTTCATAACCAATCACGATCTTCTACTTTTCCTTCAACCAATCAACCTTTTCGAATTTGAATTTTATTCCACCTCCAAACTATTTCCTCCACTTTTATATTTTTCTAATTTTCAAAAGTTTAGTCATTTTTCAGGGAGAGTTGCAATTTGGTCTTCAGTCTATTCGCTCTTTCGGTTCGTTTTCTATTTTCATTCATTTCAAATTTTATACAGTCTACTTTCTACATAAGTTCAGTTTCTTTTGTTATTAATTTGTTTTTGTTAAAGTGTTGTTAATCCTTAGTTAAGTGTTGTAAATAAATAGTTAAAAACCAAGTGAAGTTTCATATCAACAAGTTACATTTGCGTAATTCCAAAAAGTAGCCCCTACAATAAAGTCATCAAACTACGGCGACAACACAATTATTTAATATGATTGTTAAGAAACTGATCAAAACTAATTACAATGTACATAACCAATTAAGAAATTAATAAAAAAAGTACAGAAGTGTTTAGTGAGGTAGTTTAAGCTAAATGTATTTACACCATGCTTACTTTTGTCGTAATTTGCTTGTCATGACAATTAACCGTTTATTTTAAATTAATTGAATAACATACTTATTTTTATGATATCAATCACTACTGAAAACTTTTTTTTTTGCTGTACCTATTGAGGTATCTTACGTTGTCGTATACCTAATTGCAGTGTAATGGCTCTTCCCTAGATTTGTATGATTAATGTCACTATAAAACGTTATCATTTCAATTAGGAAATTTTGGTAATTTAAAACAAATCAAAAGAAATGTCCTTAGAGATTCTTATAAATATTATTTCATATCAAATCTGCTTTTCGAGTGTAGGTAGGGGAGACCGGGGATGGTTGACTAGTTCTTTACTAAACAGTTCATATTTTTTTTGTTTTAGACAAGAAAAGCATGTTAATTGATAGAAAATCTATTAACCTAATAAAAATATGTAATATTCAGTTCTTAGTTTAGTATAATAATGATGATTTAATGCATTTTACAAAATATTAAATCTTAGTCAATCTACCCCGGGCCCGGGGTAGGTAGACCATATGCCCGGGTAAGTTGACTCATGTAACAGTAAGAGTCAAATCATGAGAAGGAGCAAATAATCAAACAATTTTTTTATATAATTGAACCTTTTGTTAAAAAATAAACTGGCTAAAGTTTCCTCTTCTAGATTAGTAAAATTTGTCAATTTTTTTATATAGGTATTCCACTGTGTTCAGGGTTAATTCTGCTCTCGTCAATTTCGGATTCTGTTCTAATTTTTCTTTTAATTTGGCCACGTAACGATTTAAATGTCCAATAAAAAGTTAATTTATGTGTTGTTTTCAACTACATATTTCATTGGTCTACCAACCTCAGACGCCATTTTTAATTTTGATCGCATGGCTAGCCTAAGCACTGCC